GGCAGGTATTATCTAAAACCTGAAGATTAGCGTGTATATATAATACATGCCTTGTAATAATTGGTTATTCTGGGTTTCTTTAATTAGACACGTGAGACATGTGAATTACTTAATTTCCTAAGCGAGGAATTCCCATTTTTTTTTTTAATCTTGTGCTTATACACTTTTTGATACTTCTGCGTGGTCATTTATGTTACTATTTTATATATTTACTAGGAAATTCATTATTGCATTCCGTATTATGTGTACACCTATGTTTATAAGTTGTAAATGAACGACGTGCATAAAAAACTGTTTTCCTCCTTTATAATGTCGAGTTTCATAATAGTGCCATCAATTATTTATGTTTTATAAATGCTTATTTGTTTTGTTCTTTGTTTATTGTATGTATACGTTGGAGATTTATGAAAAAAAAAACAAATTTTACATATCATTAATGTAATGTGATAAACATGTCGACATGATCGAAAGAGTACAAAATAAATTTGTTAAAAGATTGAAGTATAAATATTGGAAATTTAAAGATACAAAAATTATGTCTTTGCAAACACGGCTTAGAGATCAAATTTTTCTTTTCAAAACTTTTAATCACATTGATTCTGCTGGGTGAATATCACATGCGTAAATTTTGCGAGTCCAGGCTGAGAAACCAGGTGTAAAGTGAAGAAATATTAATGATTAATTTTTTATAGTTTAATTAGACGTAAAATGAGTTTAGGGCAAGAATTTCAGAAAATTCATTGTACAATCATAATTAGTAAAAAATATTAATGTCCCGATTTTCAGTTTTGCTGGTGTGTCCACTTTCTGTTTTTTTTGTATAAAATAGTCGTTCTGGTAAAATGTGTACGCTTTTAAGAAAAACAATTCCATGTATGTTATTCACTATGAGAAGCGCTAACTAAAATCATTGAAAGTATTGCAATTACCAGTATGTGGGAGACTGGGTATTTGATCAAACTTTGTCCACGCGAAAATTGTAGTTTTGGTGGCAAACATTCAACTGGTTGCAACTGGTAAGTAGTTTAACTAAAAACCATTACGTTCTTGCCCCGCGCAAGCCTCAGTCGTGTATTAGGACCTGGCAGCGAAAAGCATGGGCACTGGGTTCCATTTCCCGCCAAAAAAGTAATTATATGCCCTTTGAAATGAAATGAAATGAAATGAAATGAAATGAAATGAAATAAGTTTTATTTGCATTGAATAGGTTTTTTACAGGATGGTAGTTGTTACATTTGAGTAGGTACTGCTATTCAGCCATTATACAAAAGCATGCAAAATTTAGTCTTTTAGGTAGTCATTTACACTATAATAACCTTTTTTAATTAAATATTTATACAATTCAGATGTCATTCTTTTATATGTCAAGTTTTTTATTTCTATTGGCAACTTATTATAAATTCTCATGCACATATAATATGAACTTTTTAAGTACAGTGTAGTCTTAGGTATATTTTCAACGACAAGTCTATTTGGGTGTCTTTTCGCGCGTGGATTAACATCTATCGATTTTTTAAACAGTTGTGAATGCTCTTTAACAAATTTGCAAACTTCATATATATACATGGAAGGTAAGGTCAAAATATTTAAATCCTTAAACAGCGGCTTGCAAGATTCCCGTGGGCCAATGCCGCACATTGCTCGAATACACTTTTTTTGAGTTACAAAAGCTCGCTCTACATATGTTCCATTACCCCATATAATCAATCCGTAACGTAGTACCGACGCAATGTAGCCGTGATAGGCAAACAAGCATATTCTTTTAGAGGCAACTCGTCTCAATCCACGAAGGACGTACACAAATCTGTTTATTTTGCTGCAGATGCTGTCAATATGATTGGTAAAGCTCAGTTTTTTATCTATTAGAATACCCAAAAATTTTACTGTCTCTAAACTTTGTATGATCTTTCCATCATATTTTATAGTAATATTCATTGGTGTACGTCTCTTAACAGCAAATTGGACATATTTAGTTTTATCCAAATTCACATGTAGATTGTTTCTATTTAACCAAACTATTACAGATTTCATTGTGTCATTAATTTCGGCTTCATAATGATTGACGTCGTTATTATTTGAGTTGATGACTATTGCAATGTCATCTGCAAACATGACAATTTTGTGCTGAGTTATCAGGGGCAGGTCATTAATGTACAACAAAAATAGTAATGGGCCAAGTATGCTTCCCTGAGGAACACCAAACTTATTGAAATCATTAGTCGAACAGCATGTGGTAATATTTTTATTTTGATCCAGGTAGCTTAACTCCACCCGTTGCTGTCTGCTATATAGGTACGACTTAAACCAACTCAGTGCTATGCCCCTAATACCATATTTTTCTAATTTGGTCAGCAGTCTCTCATGTGCTACAAAATCGAAAGCTTGAGACATGTCTAGGAACAATACTGTGCTGTGTTTTTTGTGTATCAAGAGCTTTGGTCACCATTCCGGCAATATTGAAAACCGCCTCAGCTGTTGATTTTCCCTTTTGAAAGCCGAATTGTTCCGGTCTTATAAGGTTGAATTTTGTGCAATAGTCTATCAATCTAATGTACATGCATTTTTCAAAAACTTTGGCTAATGTCGGGATGAGAGTAATTGGCCGGTAGTTGGATAGTTCCGACTTGTCCCCCTTCTTAAAGATTGGCTTCACTATTGATACCTTTAATACATCAGGAAACATGCCCCTTTCAAAGGATAGATTTATTAAGTATGTTAAGACTGGTGCCAATTCATTCCCGCATTGTTTTAAAATTTTTGTCGAGATTTCATCATAGCCACAGGCATTTGTATTGTTCAAAGATTGTATTATTTTAATAATGTCATAGGTTACGAACGGTTTTATGTAGAACGAATTTAATGTCATTTGTACCTCTGTTAAATTGTCATACTTATGTTTGTCAAATATAATGTCATTGGTCAAATTTATGAAATGTCGATTAAAAGCTAAAGCCATTTGTAATGGCTCTATCACTCTTGTGTTTTGTATATTTAACTCAGTTATATCCGTAATGGGTGGTTTTTGTACGTTATGGCCCTTTATAACTGCCCACGAGGCCTTACATACATTCTTGTTATGTTTAATAAAATTAGTATTATGTTTCTTTTGGGCATTCAAAATACATCTTTTTAAAATTTTTGAGTAATTTCTATATTTTACTTTATCTGTTTTGTTTTTGCTTTTGTAATACTTAAAACGTAATTCTCTTTTAATTTTACAACACTTTCTTAGCGCTTTAGATACCCATTTAGGACCACTAGTTTTTGTATTAACCTTATAACGGCGTTTGGGATAACAGAGATTATATAATAAAACGAAAATTTCATGGAAATTTCTAAACGCTACATTAATATCTGTTTCATTGAAAACATCATTAAAATTTAATGCTTTAAGGTTCGTTTGAAATTTTTTATTATTCTCCTCTGTTAGTTCTCTTTTTGTGATGTACCAAAAAGTTGTTTCTTTTGGTTTATTTCGGGGGGAAAAACTTAACACTTGGGCGGTATTGTGATCAGAGAGATAAAGGGGTAAGACGCTTCCAATACCTTCCTTTATATTGCTAATAATAAGATCTAAGCATGAGAGTTGTCTAGTCGGTTGGTCTATATGTTGTATTAGGTTGTAATTTGACCTTTGGTGGCACGTGTGACAAAAAATATTCAACTTCCCTGGCTCCATTTGGGCTCAATTTTTGTTTTATCCTAAGGTCGTATTCTGAAACCAAATTAAGAGACTAATTTTGTCATTATTTTATCACAATTTAATCGTCTCGGTTTTATTTTTAAGCTTTTACTTTTTTTTTCCCGTAATTTATTATTTGAGATTTAATCTTACGTGGCTCCAATATGGTGGTTTTAGTGGCGTTTGTGTTACCACCTTAACTTAAAAACGTCACCAAATTTTAAATTGTTATGATATTTTTGAATATAACGTTCACTTTCGAAAATTGTTTTAAAATATTATAGTTTAGTTGTCCCAATAAACTTAAGAAAGATAGTGTTATTCATAATTTTTCAGATAACCAAAAATTACTTAATTGCTTTTTAATCTATTTGTACCTTAGCGATCTTTTAAATTTGTATTTTACTTAAATTAACGGTGATATCATTGATTACATAATTTTGTTCAGAACCTCAAACACGAAGATTTAGTTCATTGTTGTTTTCATTGGCAGTTGAATAACTACGATAGACTACGCTATCTCAAGGAATGTTTTCTGAAGATAAATTGTAGAAACTCAAATGTTTACCATGAGGACATGCGGTGGGTTTATCGAGACATTGAGACTTGATGCAAAATAAGGCACAGAATGCTAATTTAGAGCTGTTACTTTTTCCAAATAACCTGAAGAAATAACACTTGGTACAATTATAACTTAACTAGTGGAGTGATTTCCCATAAAATAATTGAATATTATGGTGGTTGCATATCATGATATCCAATAAATTTAAATCATAATTAAAAGAGATTTACAATTTGTTGCTTAGTAGCAATCATTATGTTCGTTGATTACAGCTATGTACAAATTTGTCTGTCCAACGTAACTATTTTGAACATTCATGGAAACTGTTTTGGCTAGTGTTTGTTTCATATTTGTTGAAAATGAAATGTATTGTATGATGCTGTACGTTTAACAAATAAAAAAAAATTAAAAAAATGTACTATTATTTAACATTTACTACAACGCTGAGTGATGTACAATATTTGTATTTATAGTGGTATGAAATTTCAGATGCAGTTAAAAGTATGGACAATCATCCAGTCTATTGTATTTATTATCATCACATGTACATAGTCAGGTGTTACAAATGTGTTACATTATGACTAGATTGTAGTACATGACCCTGAATAGGGCACTGCAAGTCAAGATATTAACAATATAAGAAAATATAATGAAAGAAAATAAAATAAAAATTTAGAATAGACATTGAGAGGCTTAAACAAAAAATGTCAAAATTTAAAATAATTTTAGAACTAAGGCAAAAAAACATTATGGAGAAGGTTTTTTCGAAATTCGAAAAAAATTACATGCATATAAACTCATTATCAATTAATTATTAAGTCATTTATAGTTTCATTAACTGTCTTCATTTGGAGTGTAATCGTTAAAATATTTTTATATTTTTAATTAATTATGTAGTCTTCAATTGTATAATAGCTTTTATTCCTTAAATTTTTAAAGGAGAAGTTATCATTTACTTCGTTTTCTACGTCAGGCGGTATTTTATTGTATATTTTTATTGCTCGATAATATGGGCTGTTTTTGTACATTACTAATTTTGGTTTGGGGAGTCCCAATTGATTACTCCTTCTTGAACTCTTTATGTATTTAAATTCTTGTAAATGCTTGTTCTGTGGAGACTGTTATGAGCTGCATACAGATTTATTTATTTAAACTCACTTATAAATATTTACATATTCTTTTGTTGGTGGTAATGTTTGAAATCTGGGGTTGGCATGCCATACGCCGTCGCATGACTGGTAGCCACACCTCCTCTACCCGTACTGTAGGCATTAGCTATAGCGGTCGCACCTCCAGGAGAACTGCCTCCACCGTTTCTTCCGTACCCGAAAAACATGGGAAAGAAGGCACCAGTCGGCATCTTTGGAGTTTCATCATCATCGTCATCTTGAATGGGTTTCACTTTCTTGTTTTTGGGTACCCTTTTTGTTGATTTCTGTTCTTGATCAACTTCCTCGACTTCTGGTTCGACCAATTCTGGTACAGACGGTGTAATTGCTTTGACTGTTGTGGTTCGTATTTCTGTTCTATCAGTGGCCTCTGCGATTTCGGTTTGTTCAGTGCTTGCGATTGGTTTTCCTGGGGTTGGAGGGTAAAAGACTTCGTTTACTTGGGGTGATGGGAAGAAACCCTCTGGCGGTGTTTGTCTGCGTCTGTCCGGGACATAATACTGACTAGGTTGGATCTGCTGCTTGCCAGTTACTTCCGGTTGCCGGACCATGAAAGCTGCCATGCCCATACCATGAGGATTGTAATACGGGTTGTAGTATCGACTCACCACCATTCCGCCGCGACTAGTATCACTTGCGCCGTATGCCACTGTAGAAAATTAATGTTTTTAATATGTTAGGATAATAAACTAGAAAGTATTATACATTTGTAAAACTATTCTTGTAGTATTAAATACCCCTCAAAACCCTGTGGCAGAGAACAACGGTTACATGGCGGACCAATGTCGAGAAAGACCTGAACGCCTTGAATATTTCACCAACGAATATGCTGGACAGAGAGTCCTGGCGCCGACGTATAAGGAGGACCGACTCCAAATAAAGTACGAAGAGCAGCAAGAAGAAGACTTAAAACCATTTTTGTTTAAAAAATAAAAAATGGGCTAATTAATCTATATTTGCACATATTAATACAATGGATTTGAATTAGAATAAATTCTATTGGAATAATACAGTTTAATTTCGTTGTAGTAATAAAATTATTATAGCTGCTACTTACATGAATCCATGTTTCCGTAGTATGGGTAGTAAGGATACCCTCTCGCCTCCCAAAGCACGCAACTTAAAACCATAAGCGCGATAATCTTCATTTCTTGTAATTATATTTGCCCACTAATTCCCTCAGGAGAAATAAGGTGGTGTCTGATGTGAAGTGACCGAGTCTGTGTTAGTCAGAACCCGATGTTGGCATTATATAGTCCTGTCTGGCTGGACTAATTGGGATGCAAACCACGTAGGCTACGTACGTAGTACGAGCTACTTCGACCGATGTTTTACAAGACGCGCCTGTGTTCTTCAACCGTTATCCGTTATGGTAAATGGACATCCTAGCGAAGAACTGGTGGATGCTCGACACGTACTCTGTCCATTAGACTGACCGTTGGTGATTTTGGCTATGTCTCTTTGGTGAGTTCGATACGAATCTAAATATTGTACTCTCGCATTTTTTTGTTTTAAGATGGTGAATCGTGTGAATGTTCATTGGTGCAATAAATAAAGGACATATTAAGGTGCAGGAGGTGAACCGCATTATACTGCGCCCGCCGCACTTCTGCATAAATCGGGGCGTACGTGGAATGGCAAAAAGGTTCATTCATGACGATTTATAATCTATCTTTAGTATCCAATACTCACTGAAGTTTTGTATGCTTCTAAGAAACAATACTAGGAAAATAATTTACATGATATATCTTTAATTTATGACATACTCTGAAGAATAACTTTCGAAATGAGCTTATTTGACAGAGAATCAAGATCGTCGACATAGCTGGTGGAATTAGTAAGCTGAAGTGGCAGTAGGTTGGTCATATTTGTCGAAGAACGGATAACCGATGGGGGAAACGAGTTCTTGAGTGAAGACCACGGCTCAGCCGGCATCATGGAGGCACGACGCTCTTTGGCAAGATGGAATGACGATCTACAAAAGTTTGCTGGCAGCTGGATGCGACAAGCTAAAGACCGGGCGAAATGACCCATATCATTCTACATAAGTTTTGTTTATAGTGCCCCTCGTATCAACCTCTAGGTTATGCAGGAAGGGCACTATTTATTACCTATGCACGCACAGGAATCTTACAAGTTCAGGTTCTGACCCCAGATCAGCCAGTGTACAGGATTCTCACAGACCTCAGTCACTTGACTTACCGGTTCTTCCCTATTTTCCAGATAGGTACCGGAGCTGTAGGCACGCTCACTTCCCGTTGCGCACAGCATAACTAGCAGTTGCCACCGCTGAGTCCACTAACAAATCTCCTCATTGATGGCGGAGCTGTAAGCCACGCTCACTTCCCGACGCCGAAAAACGTCGTCTCTCCAATTCCCAATAACCTAAGCGGCTGGAGGGATCGGAGGATATCTAGCTCATCCTTTACTAGTTCTCCAGGCTAGTGCCGGAGATGCCAGTCGCAGTGTCCTGCGACAATGTCCGGATATAGCTTCCAACTTAAAGGGCAACTCACGTGCCCCGCGCGTCTCCTCGCTTCAGGCCCTCAACTAGACCGTTACTAAGACGCGCTAGCTGCTCACGAGGCAGACGCCCCGGACACATGCAACTGGGGCAGACAAACTTGTCCGCCTCTGCAGTTAACCACAAACCCCAGCGAGTCCATACCCAGGGCCGGGTCCGCCAAAGCTAAGGCGTAGTACTGGCGGAGGGCTTGACCCGGACGCCCTCTGTACCCTGGCCTTGCCGTCGAGCCCGTGTCTCTCCGGAAACCCCTATCTCTCGTGTCAGTAGATAGGGCCATTGGGAGAGGCCAATTTAGTTAGTTTAGTTTTAGTAGCAATGGAGCTCGTTTAGAAAGAGTTCGTCAAGTACTGCCACTTTACCTATTTCTGCCGCCAAGCAGTAATGTGAACATTACTGTATCCCGGTTGTGAAGGGTAAGGGTGTTGGTGAAATTACAGACACATGGGAGTTGTCAAATTATGTCTCAGGGTGAAGGGCGCAATAGTAGTGCCCGTCAGATCTTTGCAATTTAAGAATCTGAGTGGCACAGGCGTGTCCATC